AGGCAGTTTTAATCTCAAATATTTGGTGGAGAGGTAAACCTTCTCTCCCACCCGGAATGGCTGTTGCGGAGCCTGGTGTTTATCTGCCTGTTTCTTATAGGTTTGTGCTACTTTAGCCAGTGCTTTTTTTTGACATTTTCCCAGGTTTCTTTCAGCATCGACATCCAATCAGTCAAGCTGACTGAGGAGGGGGGGATCCCTTGGATACTCAGGCATTGGGACAAAGTCCATGCCACTCACTACTTTGAACAGCATGAGTCCTGTGCTACTGTGAACAGCATTATTGTATGCGACCTCAGCAAAAGATAAAAGATCTGCCCAATTGGACTGCTGATAGTTCACATAGCACCTCTGATGCTGCTCTATCATGGCATTCAGTCTCTCTGCTGCCCCATTAGTGTTCGGATGGAAAGCTGAACTAAGATCCTGAGATGGCCCAATGGACCGCAGAAGCTCCCTCCAGAACTTAGCCGTGAACTGGATCCCTCTGTTTGAGATAATTCTTCGAGGTACTGCATGCAGTCGGTAGATATGCTTCAGGAGTTTAGCCAGCTTGTGAGCTGAGGGTAGTCTGCTACAGGGTATGAAGTGTGCCTGTTTGGAGAACAGATCTATTACAGTCCAAATCACCGTGTTTCTCCCACTTTTTGGCAACTCTACTATAAAGTCCATTGCGATCTCCTCCCACAGCCTCATTGGCTCTGCTATTGTTTGCAGCAGTCCGAGGGGGGGGGGGGCATCGGTCATCTCTTCATTATGGCGCAGTTGGTGCAACTTTTCATGTAACTATCCACATCTTTCTCTATGCCAGGCCACCAGAATTGCCTCCGGGCTAAGTGTTAAATCTTTAGGAAACCAAAGTGGCCTGCCGGTTTGGCGTCGTGATTCCTCTGGAGAACTAGGGTATGTAGGGATTCTGGGACGTAGAGTTTCATCCCCTTCCATGCAAGGTCATCTCTTTTCATCCCTAGTTCGGAGAGAGGGAGGGGGTTGCCTGCTCTTGGCAGCCTGCCTGCTGTGTGGGAGAGGCACTGGTTGCCGTTTTGGGCTCCTTCTCCTTCTATCAGGAGGGGGAGGGGGGTGCGCTCCAGTCTGCATCTCCTCCCTTCAACAGGATCAGATGTCCCTCCCCTCTCTTTTGGGCAGCCTGATGGCCCCTCATCATGAAAGGTGGCCCAGTCAAAATCCTCCCTCAGTTGCTCTTTTGCACTCCCTAGGGATTCCATCTGGGGCTTTGGGAGCTTGGTTTGTTTCCAGTCCCACTGCCAGTCCACCCTTGCCAGCTTGCTTGAGACCATTCCCTGTATCTGGGAACTGGGATAAGGGAACTCTACTTCAGCTGCCTTAGCGGTTAATTTCCAAAAGTACTCATCCTTTCTTGCTTCTGCTGCTGGGGAAGACATCACAGCGTGGAAGTGTGGAGCTCTGATGCGGGGGAGGCTGGCCAACTTCCTCCAGTTGAAAGCAGGCTTTCTCTTGATAATCTACCTTCTGCCATGATTGCCTGATTTTCCCTCCAAGCACCCCAAATATTGGGGGAGTGCTCGGAGAGCCCGGGATTCATAAAATCTGGAAATCTTGATAGATTTTTAAAAAATCGGTTTAGGTTCTCTGTGAAGTTCCCAAGAGATGACCCAATTAATTTACGAGCCTCAAGACAAAGTTCAAACAAAAAACATTCATTTATTAGGGTCAACATCTTGGCTTGATCTTCTGTGGAGCCTAAACTGGCTTTCACTTAATTGCGTTTGAACTTTACCCCTCTATCTCCTCCCTTCTCTCATGCGTCATATTGCCAACTAGATTGTAGATATATGAAACCTGACTCTAGCCAAAAGTATGCATGGAATCTTCCCTCAAGGGCCAACCTGATAATAGTCATGGCAACACTTTAGAAGTTGACATTTAGAACTTCTGGGGGCTACTCAGGGGCTTATTTCCTCACATCATCAAAAAACTAATGGTAAGGTACAAATGGAGTTCTGGAGTAATATCTCAGATGTTACATTAATTATCAACAAGACAATTGGACGGACGTTCTTTTCGCTGAGGTTGCTTACAATATTTCAGTGCACAGCAGCAACAGTTTCACTCCTTTTAAAGTAGCCACTGGGCAGAACCTTGTGTCTATCCTGATTTGCCCCAGGCCACCCCATCAACCACCTAAAAAAGCAGGTCACCCAACTACAAAATACTTGGCCAGTAGTAAGAAAACTTTAGAGGAGGAGTGGGAAGTGTATAAAAAACAAGTTGACAAGAGGCGCACAAAATTGAAAGACTTTAAAGTTGGAGACAAGTCTATTTATTCACCAAGTACTTACAATATAGACAACTTTCCAAAGGACTGGGTGCAAAATTCATTGGCCCTTTTCCCATAAAAAGAACTATCAACCTACTGACTGTTAAACTCAAATTACCAAAAAATCTTAGACACCTTCATCCAGTTTTCATTACAGCCTTCTAAAACCAGAAATCACATCTCTTCCCTATGTCCAGAATCGCAATCACCTCCCAATCCCATCATGATCAATGGGAAACAGCACTTTGAAGTTAAAGACATATTGGACTCTTGACACATTGAGGGGAAACTCAGTATTTCGTACCATGGAAAGATTTCCCTTCCCCGTCTGGATGGTTTAATGTGTTTGGGTTAATTCCAAACACGTTAAACCATCCAGACTGCTTAAAAAGTTCCACAAACAATATCTGGATAAGCATCGATGACCATTCAACTAATTGTGCCTTTTATGTGTATCTCTCCCTCCCCTCTTGTCTTCTTTACATGACTAATGTCTCTGTCAAGGGAGGCAGTATGTCAGGTCTGCCATCTTTGGCCTGATGCCTCACTGGCATCCTGCCATCAAAGGCCAGGGTGTAGAGGGGGGGTATGTATAATGGACAAATGGAGTCAATGGTCTTTTTTACCTAAGGGACCTACCTGGGGCAGGTCTGACACAGATGTTCGTTGGGTAACTTTACAGGTTGACAGATCATTCCTACTATCATAGATTTTTATATTTATGGCATTAGAATATCTTCTTGTTGAATGAAAATGTATATTTTTCCAGATCAATATATTTATGAATGGACAACATGTTGAAACATTTCAGGAAGATATTTCATTCACTTCAGATCTAACTGCTTCACATGATGAGCCTCAGTCTCAAGAAGAGTTTAAAGGTACTATTGTTTGTTTATTTATGAATTTATTATAGCTTTTATTATCTATCTTCTTGAGAGATCAAGGCATCATACACCCAGAGTTGATTCATGTTATTCCTATAACTTTATGTGTAGGTTTCAAAAATCCATCACAGCAGTGGTGTCCAAAATGTCTGTCTGCCTTACGCAGAGTTTATTTGTCTTTTATACAGTTTTAACAAGCAAAGCAAAAGCAGGGGTAGCAACAACATCTTATTGGTTCATTCTACTTGTCAATATCCTAGCCAGAGTTGAGGCTTCACATATCTAAAGGTTCCTGGTACTAACTGGTTCTAATAAACAGTTGAGGTCATCGGTCACTGAGATCATGGAGGCTTGCTGCACATATCTGTACGTAACCCTTCCTCTATCCCTACATTTATGAGATGGATTGAGTTGACAGAAATAGTTATCCAGTTACCCTTTCGTTAAGTCCAAATTTGTATGTGGGTCTATTGGGCCCAATTCTAATAACACCATACTATATTGTCCTTCAAAGTACTACTGTTTAACACGGAAATTACTCATAACCAATATGTTTATGTGTAGGCCTTGCTTTATACAGAATACGTTGCATTTTTTCCATTACATACTCATGTTTGGTGCAAGGGAAATCAAGTGAAGTACAAGGGTTGCTGAAATCTAAAAGTTTCTTATTTGTCAATAAGAATCTTTTTTTTTTAATCTATAATTCCCTAATCGATTCATTATTTTTAAGAAGTCTATTTCAAAAGTGTAAATTCACAATAATCAAATGTTCTCTAACATAACAAGGTAAATATTCACGGTATACAATAAATTGATAGTTTGTTCTAATGGTTAAGGTATCAGGCTAGTTCCTCTTTAGGCATGAAAGTTGATTGGGTGATTTTGGACTAGTCATAATGACCTCATGAGGTTGTTGTTGTAGGGAAAACAGGAGGAGGAAAGAATATTAGGTATGTTTCTCATCTTGAGTTATTTTATTTTTTTAAATGAATTATGTCAACTATTAATTTAGTTCCTACCAATCATACTCTCTTAACTATCTAGGGAAACATCTCTTCAGGTGAAATGAGTATGCCAAGTTCATGTAGATGGAAGAAAATAAATGTGATGAAAAAGAGGATAACATGGGTAGTCTTTGATATATGAGTGTAATGGAGCCTGACCATTACAGTAGTGAGTCGTGGTTATAAAACAGATCAGTCACGTGACTAACCCAATTTGATGATGGTTTTTTTCAGAGGTTATTAAGCAAACATCGCAGTTTTCAAAAAGTGAATGCCACAGTCACTAAGCAGATGGTTTGCTGTAAATACATGAGTTTTGCTGAACACCAGAACTGCTGACTTTCAGTAAACAACCATAAGACATGATTATGTGACCATTGGATGTTGCAAATGGCTGTAAATATGGCTGTAAATAGTGCCGAAAGTTTGGTCACGTGAGCACAGAGAAGGCCCAACTTCCTCTGCAGGTTGCAAACCCCCTTTTTCGAGTCCGTTGCAACGAAATGGTCACTAATCCATGTTGGTTCTACTTAAATATATATTTTAAATGACCTTCCATTTTCTCCAATCTAATACATCTAAATCAGTGGTGGGTTCCTACCGGTTCAGCCAAACCGGTAGTGGTTTGGCAACCTGGGTCACTGCCACACCCCCAAACTGATTCTCCAGGCAGCGCCATAGGCCATAGGCGCTGCCATCTTGTTTTTTGCTTCTGCACATGCACAGAGCAATTTTTATTTCACTGTACGTCAAGCACGCGTGCGTGCAAAGCACCCACAAGCAAACCCGCAGTAATAACTGCTGGAAGCCACCCCTGATCTAAATGGATTTACATAATTTAATTATATAGGATTTGGTTATTGAGAATCAGTTTATGTATACTAGCCTTCATTCCCAGATTTGTATTTTCTATTTTAACAAGGCATTTTGTTTGTTGGATTTATCGTCTACAATATATTTTTATCCTTTTCTTTTCTTCTAAGAATGAAATGTTGGAAAGAAATTATACAAAGTCTCTTGGGATTTTATTACCTATTCACCAAGAGAATAACTCTGATAACAGAACAGAACCATATTTGATGTGATAGGAGAAGCTAGTAAAAGAAAAATCAGTTTTAAAATGATGCAAATACTGCCAGGGACTGCAGAGCAAATATTTCCTGATGTTTATACATAGCTAGTGTCAGATCCCTAAAAGTGATACTGCCATTCAATTGGGAGGAGGGGAGCTTCAGAGTTAAATCATTAGTTACATCTGAAACAACTGAGTTTTACAACTTTACAACTGGTTTCGTGTCACCAGAAGCCCGAAGGTCCCAGCATCTCTGGAGGGATGTTTATGGTAGGCATGTGGGATATATAACTTGGATATCCAACTAGAGATAGCCATGGGAACATGTGCTTTATTGATTACCAGGGCAGAA